ATCGATGTGTGGCAAAGGGAAATCATCTTTGGGATAAGCCTTGTTTAAGTTTTGAAAATCAACACACATCCCGATCTTTTCATTTTTTTGCTAACTACCATAATATTTGACACCTAAGTTGGATACTTGATCACTTGAAGAAATTCGACTTCAAACTACTTGATAACTTCTTCTTTGACCTTCATAAGGACATCCGACCTCATTCTCCTCAACTTTTGTTTTATTGATTTATGATAAGGGAATATAAGGATTTTATGTACCACTATACTAGCATCTAAACCGGACATATCCTCATACGATTAGGTAAACACATCCGCATACTCCCGTAGTAAGACAATCAAACCCTCTTTTTTTCTAATATCATGGTTCCAATCTACGACTCTTTTTATTTTCTTCAATGCCCATATTTATGTTTTTCAGCTCCTCTTGATGAGGTTTTATAGCCCGTTTAGATAGCTCAACAAGCTTAGTAAATTCATTCACATCTTTGTCCTCAAATTCTTTTTCATCCATGACAATCAAATTCTCCTCAAATTTAGGCCAAACATGTTTGATGCAATTATTTTAGAATTTTTGAACATGTTCATTTTCTATATCTCTAAAAATTAGAAAATATGAAAATAAAAGGAATGGAAAAGAAAAAAGGCACGAGTGTGTTAAGAAAGTCCATGATCTCATATTAATACCATAGATAAATGCTCTACATAAGTCTTTCTTGGTGTTTTGAGTTAAATAACCAAGAGATTAAGATGTACAAAATGAAAGGAAGCGATAGAATTACTCAATAGTATAGGTAGGCGGAATCTCCTCTTCCTTCTAATTATGGAGCTCCTCACCCAATGCTTCTTTCTTGATAAGCAAGTTGATAGGCGGCATTCCCTCTAGAGTATTGATGGTCGATTACGATAGCATTACGAGCCGAGGAACAACCACTATCGATTCGGGATTACCGACTTCTTCATTCCTTGACTCCCCTCCAAGTGATTGATGGACAAATCCACCAATGCCGCCTCTAAGTTTACTACTTCATGATTCCGATTGATGACATAAGCAAGGTAGGGGAAAGTAGCTTGAATGTGAGGAATCACAATCCATCCTTCATTAGGATCTTGGCCTTCGATTCTAGCTAATTTGTTTTCTTTCTTTTGCTCAATAACCCTTAGATAATCCTTCATAGTGGGTTCGAACCCCAAACCAAAATGGTGATCCGAATTGGTTTGTGTCAAAGCATTCATAGCTCCCAATATTCCGAGCATTGAGATCATAGTTCTATGGGAATTCATATTTCATCAAGTATTTTATCACCATCATTATAGCCATAGACACTTCTAGCCTTTTACGGAAAAGTATTTTTCAACACCAGCTTTGCATTCATGATCTCAAATACATACGGATTACCATCTCGACTTTCTTCAACCTCAATATAAGGCACCGATATATTTTTTTGTAGAGATAGTGCTTATTATGCCATCACGGTGACTAGTTTGCCATTAGCCATATATTTCAATCTTTGGTGTAACGATAAAGTCATAGCCCGTGCCGAGTGAATCCAAGGTCTTCCTAGAACCATGCTATATGATGGTTGAATATCGATGACATATAGAGTAATTTAGAACTGGTTAGGCTCAATATCCAAATTGATATCGATGTCTCCTATAACCTCTCTCGAGGACCCGTCGTAAGCTCTAGCCATCATGCCGATAGGACACATGTGAGATGCATCCACTAGTAATCGATCTAAAACCAACTTGGGTAAAACATTCAAAGCAGATCTATTATCAATTAAAACTTTGGCAATCACATGTTATTTGCATTTGACTATGACGTGTAGAGGCTTATTATGACCTGTGCCTTCGGGACCCGAGTTCATCATCGGAGAAAGACAAATAGATGGTAGCCTGAATTTTACCCATCAAATTTCCCATGGCATCGGTGGTGACCTTTTAAGGGACATATGCTTCATTTAAAACTCTTTACAACACTTTTCGATGCGGTTTTAAACTCATGATTAATGATAGTAAGGAGATCTTAGCAAGTGTTTTTCTTAGTTGGTCCACCATGCTATAGTCACTATTTTTTATCACCTTGAGAAATTCAATTGTCTCTTCATCATCTACAAGCTTGTTTAATTCTCTAACCTTCGTGAGGTCTACTATGTCCTTGATTTTTGCCTTTCCGGATGCTTCTAACTCTTTTAATATATAACAACGTCCACTTCAAGTAAAGCATGTTACATCACTACCCATAGACATATTCATGATCGGATAGTTATGATTAACTATATTATAAGGTGAGGCTAATTGAATCTTTGGCACTCGTTAGAATCATTCTCGAAGGCCTATTGCTCGTTGGTTGGTAGTGGCATAAATCATCATGATTAGTTTCCTCGAGGTGAAACCATGCCAACAAACTCGTTCTTTCTGTGCCCCTCTACTTAGAGTCCCTAAAATCATCATAGTTTCTACCTCCTTATGAAACTCCTCATATTTATCGATATCATACCTCTTCACTCGATGATACCGACAATATTGATCCCTATCATCTTTGACTTAACGAGTTAACTAGTTGTCTAAGGTAAATAGTTTTTGTGTACAACCTATCTATAGATACCTTCATCTTTTTCTCCTCTCGATTGAACTCCTTCCCTTCGAGAGTTATCATACTAATATTACCCGTAGCATTACTTGAAAGTGGATTAGTATTGATATTCGGAGGGCTTAAATCATCAAAACTTATCCATTTATGCTTGATAAACTCCCTCATTTTTCTCTTAAAAACCAAGCAATCCTCGATAGAGTGTCTAGTGATACCATTATGGTATTCACATTGTTCATTATTTTTGTACAATAGGAAAAATAGAGGTCGCACAAGCTCTGTAGGAATAGGGACTACTTACCCTTTATTGACTAGTCGTTGAAATAACTCTTTTAGAGAGAATAAAAGGGGTGGCAATGGTTTATAGTCTTCTCTATTATAGTTATAATTACGACTGGGCTGATTACGTGGTGTTTGGTTAAAATTCGAAAGACCACAAGGTGGTCTCACTCGAAAGAGAAAATTGATTATTTTAGTAAGTGGGTATATAGGGATGATATTGAGGTTATGAATTTGATCAGTAAGGTAGGTAGTATTGATTTGGTGTCGGTGTTCTTATTTGGGTGGAGGAAAAGGTGACGGATATGACATGTGTTGGATATTATGGTTGAAGGTAAGACGATGGTTGTGTTTAGTAATAGTTTTGATTGGTATATTGTCTCGAGTTGTTCTAATGGCATAGGGGTCCGTAAGTTATCACCTAATGGACTTTCCCTTCCCTTCTCTTAGTTCCTATGTTCATCTTCTTTTCGCTCCCTAGAGATCTTTCCATTCATGATGGCTAGCTCTACTCTTTCTGCAATGACCATTATATCCGTGAAGTTTGTTGAAGCGTTGCCTATCAAATACTCAAAGTAGGATGCTTTGAAAGTATTCAAGAATATGGAGATTAACTCGAGTTCGAGTAATGGTGGGTGGATCCGAGCGACCACTTCATGCCACCTTTACGCGTACTCCTTGATCGTCTCTTTAGCCTATTTTTTCATACCATACAAGTCCGATCGGTTTGGAGCTACCTCCATGTTAAACTTGTATTGCTTAAGGAAAGCATCTGTCATATCTTTCTACCTTTTAATCTTAGATCTTTTCACTCTCATATACCGACTCAATGCTGACCCACCTAAACTCTCATGGAACAAGTGTATTAGTCATTTTTCATCATGTACAACCTTTATCATTTTGCTACGGTAAACCCTTAAGTAGGTCATTGGATATTAAGTTTTAATGTATTTGGCAAACTTTAGCACCTTGAATTTCCTCGAATTACCACATTAGGTACTAGGCACATTTCGAAGCCTTGATTGGGTAATAAATGTCTCCTCCTTATATTACTCTTAGACATTCTTCTAGAGCAATTAGCTTATCTATACTTGGACCTTCAACTATCTTATAATTATGAGCCACCTCCCTTATAAGATCCATTTCGAGCATGGGTGGCCTTTGGGGGCACTCGTGGGTCTACTAGATATGCTCTAGTAGCATGTGAAGTTTTAGCACAAAAAGCATCTTCGTTGGTTGCATGCGTGTTGGATGGCCCAATTTGACCGGGTAATGAAACCGCCTATGATATCTCGGGTTGTGTTTGTTCTTGATTCAAGATACCTCTCCTACTTACTCGCTTCTTGAAATGAGATCCTCAATTACGTCATTTCCTCCTTCAAGAAGTCAACATCTTGTTGGTGTAATCGCTCTTGTCTTGCCCTTTCTTCGTTCTCCATTTGGTGAGCCCTAAATCTAGTGTTGTGGATGCATGGAGGGGATTAAGCTTTGGCGAAGCGGCCTATGTTTCACGATCCCGAAAAAAACTAGAGAAAAATAGGTATGATGAATATACAATATATATACATACATGCTTTAAATTGGGTTATATACCTTTTTATGTTTACTGCACATTAAATCATGATAGAGTTTGTATTAAAGACGAACCAAATTAAAGCTCGGTACTCACTAAGGGCAATAAAGACCCCATAGATACTTGAGCGACTTGGGAGATATATCTCCCCCTTATTTCGATTGTAGTATACACACTCGGTTGATCTCGTGATATGATGACACTCGTGAAAGGCCATACTCAAGAAAATCTAAAATATGAACTTCTAGTGGATTCTTAATTGCAACATAAAGACATTTTTTATTACAAAACAAAAGATCACAAAAGTAATCTTATTACATAGTGTATTTCTAATACATTGAAATTCGGACTTCTAGTATGTTTTACACGTGACTTAGAGCCATTTTTCGGAAAGAAAATTACAAACATGAAAGTCCCTATTACAAAACCTATTCTAGATTTGGCCACAACCTTAAACCCTCGTAGGAGATTATGTCATTTACAAGCCTTTGGAGTCACTCAAAAAAGAGTTGAACTTTCTCATCTCTCGGATGTATGCCATTAGCTAAATCCTCTATGGTATGTCGCATGTGTAAGGCATAATTCTTGGCATTCTAGGCTTGCAGGTGGTATTCATAGTCCTACTTCCCCGCTCGCCTACTTCCCTCCTCGGGACATCTCTTTCCATCTCAGCACCCACTTTCTCATCATGAAGATTAGTCAACTCCTCAATCAAAGAAACTGTGAGTTTGGTTGCATTCTCATATTTTTCGTTGAGCGATTGATGATCTTTCTTTATATGTCTTACTAACCCCTTTGATCGTTGAAGTCGATCATGAAGGTCCTTGTTTTGTTTGTTTAAAGCACTCATTGCATGGTCTTTCGGGCCAAGAGTTTCTTCTAACTTTCTTTTCTTTTGGGTCGGTTCGATCACTCGAGCATTCGGGACTTCATTAAATATTTCATGTTGGGCATTCATCTCTTGGCGAACGCCCTCCATTGTTTCACTCCTCATTTGAGAGGGACCCTCGAATGGTGGCATGCGATATCCTTTCCCCCTAGTGCTTTGCCATTTAGGATACCCCGACGTGGTTCTTTCATCTACTCTTCTTTCAAGAGTGACTATCCCTTTATTTCTCCATGCAGCCTTTGTTTTTTTCAAAAGTTTCTTAGAGACTTTCAAATCTTTATAGCATTGAGCCAAATCCATAGTTCTCGATATAAATCGCTCAAAACCTAATTGTCTCGAGAACATATTCGGGCAATAGGTGATACAACACCATGCTCCAATTAGCGATACCCAAGGATACTCGCCACAATGAAGCCAAGTAAAACCGAAAAAAAAGCATATTGTGCCCTCTAGTGAAATTTTAACTTCTCTAAGTCGAAGAACATTCATGTCCATACTCGTTTTTCCTAACTCATTGAGGGAATGTCTAGCAAAGTTCTCTAGTTTGGAATGTAAGTGCCATGGTGTGCTAAAGATTCCCGAGGCCTTTCCGGTCACTATGTGGCTAACTCGTCCAAACAAATAGTAGTGGGACACAAGCACCTTAAATGTCCATCCCCTTTCCTTTAGTAAAAATTCAAAGATGAGAGTGTTTTTAGCTAGGATTACAGGAGTAGGATTGATTTTGAGGGATACTACACTCTTAAACACATTTATCGCCTCGAAGTCAATCATGCCTTTAGTTGACGGTAACAATACCAACTCCGTATATGCCCATCGCCGTATTCGAGTCCGAGGCTATTATCCTTATCTTATATATGTTTTATGAATTTTGTTTGGAGGAGATTCCAAAACCATCCGTGCGTCCGACCTCTTTGGGTCCTTTGCTTATCGATAATGGTCGAGTCTATTCCAATTAACCATGTGAAGTGTGCAAGAGCTTGCTCATAAGGGTTGTAGAAATAAACTACCTTTGATTCAAGAAATGCTAACAACGCCTCATACTCTTCTAGTGTGGGTGACATATCCACACTCCCAAAAGTGAAGCAAGTAGTATTTCGGATCCCAATGCCCTATCATGGCTTGGAAGAACAAGATCCGAACTTTAATCTTAAGTAGATGAGCTATATCGCCATACATCTTCCGAAAGTCAAACCTATCGGTAGAAATAAGCATTCCTAGCAACTAAGTAATGGTCCTATATTGGTTAGCTTGTTGGTGAGTTTTGCTTTCTTAGGCGGTTTCGACATAAAGCTCGAGGACAAACAATCTCCCTCTTCAATTTGGGCTCGCTCCGATCTAGCTTTAAAATCCTCAATGTCGATTTCGATTTCCTCTATCATGATTTAATATAAAGGACTACCTGCAAGAACCGAGGGTTAATATTCACATCATTTGAAAATAATTTGTGTCTTAATCAAGTCAACCGTAGTGGACAAGATCTAGCTTGTTTATGGTTTAGCGAAGTTGGTCTAGTCCTAAGTCTTTTCAAGCTCTTGAATGGTCTAAATTACCAGTAGGGTAATCCAGACCTCCGACCTTATGTGTTAGGAGGTAGAGGAAGGTTATTCCATTATTTCTTATACATAGGGCTAGTTCCAATCCAAACAAGAGTCCGAAAGAGCATCGGTAGACTTTCGTCATACTTGCCTTCGAATCTCTCTATCTAAATCATAACGGGGTTCGAGCTCGGGCCTAGAGCTTTTGTAGGTTTCCTTCATGGTCTATGCAACGGTTCAAAAAAACATATAACCCAGTTCAAAATAAATTAAAGATGTACAAAAACTAAAAGGAAATGAATTGCAAAAATTCAAAGACATAAAATAATACAAGGAAATAAATGACTTGGAAAATAAAAGAAACATAAAAATAAATGGCAAAAGTAAATAAAGGAAATAAATTTGTAAGGACTAAACTTATGGCCTAACACTAGATCCCCGATAGAGTCGCTATTCTATCGCTATTCGTATCGGACAGGACTCCTAAAAATCTCTTATATCTCTAGTTTAAGATTTTATTTATTTACTCAATTTATGTATATAGTTTAGAGTTGCCACCTAGTATTGAAGGAACTAGGAACTAGGAACCTAAAATGGGCACTCGGTTCGGAGATTTTATAGTAAGAAGTTGGTTACGCTTTTGGAAAGATATTTAATCACCCAAAAGCGTCTTTTCCCGAGAAAGGTACCATGTCTAGTCTAATCCTAAATTCATCTCCTAAAGTTTTTTATTTTTGTCAAATTATTTTTAAATTTAAAACTTAAAATTTTCAAGTCCTTTATTTCACGTCAAATTAAGTTTTTATTTTTATTTTTGAGCATGGCATTGTATTGAAATGATCGTCGGACCCCTTTCGTCGAGAGACACGTGGGTTCAAACATCGGATCCACTTTTTTGGTCTTGACACAACTGGTATGTCGGAGAACACTTGTTTATTAAAATGATTTTTTTTTACAAACAACGAGTCCCTATCATATATAAGACTTTATTAAGAGTTTTATGATTTTTTTTATTTTTCTTATTTTTTCTATTTTTCTTTTCTATTTTTTTAGTTAGTAGAGGACATTCATAAGTCCCTAAAGAATTAGGAGACTTGACGAGTCCTCCAACCATTACGTACCAAGCCTAATTACTAAACAAATACATTAAGCTACATTAATTAAGTAAAGAAAAATTAAATACTAAAGTTTAAATCAACAACAAATATGTATAAAATATATTCAACGTTAAATTAAAACAATTACAAAATATTATAATAACAAATTCTAAATTAATATAAATTAACTAACATGCATAAACAAACTTAAAATTAAAAGTACATTAACTAAATTAATTACATAACATGCATAATAAAATAAATATTTTTCTTCTTTTTTTTCTTTTTTTGGGGTTTTCTCTTTTTTTTTTAAAAAAAAAATTGAAGATGGGAAGGGGTTGGACGATCCAACCCCTTTTGTATTTTTAAGGGAAAGAGCTAGGCGGGATCGACAAAAAAAAATCAAAAACGGGGTTGGACAATCCAACCCATTTTCGTATGGGTTGGGTTTAACCTAACCCACAAACACATTTTAGCTCCCTTTGTTTAAAAATTTTGGATCAAAAACCATTTTTTTCTTTTTCCTCCTCTCTCTCCCGTTTCTTCTTCTTTCTTTTTCCTTTCTTTTTCTTTCTTCTTCTTCTTCCTCCTCCCTCTCCTGGCTACCTCCGTGGGACGAACCAAATTGGTTCGTCCCTCTTTTCTTGCTCTCCTCATTGTTTTCTTTCCTTTTCTCTTCTTTCTCTTTTCTCTTTCTTTCTCGTTCCCCTCCTTCATCGTTTCTCTCTTAGTCGAAACGACCATGGACGAACCAGTGGTGGTTCGTCCATGGCCACCTAGTTTTCTCCCTTCCTTCCTTCCTTCCTTTTTCCTCTTTCCTTATTTTCCTTCTTTCCTTCACCCAATTAAAGACCCCCAAATCAATTTCACAAAATTTTTCCCTAATTTGCCGAACCCTAGGTTTTAATTTTTCTTCAATTTCTTGTGCAATTAGTCTAATTGACTTGATTTCTCTTGAAATCAAGTCAATTCAAACCCTTTAGGACTCAAAATTTTGGAAACCCCCAAATCAATTTTTGGTCAAAAAAAAAATCAAGAACCCTAGGTTTAAATTGAAGCTAGTTCAGCTTCAATTTGGGTTTTAAACCCCAAATTGAAACTCTAATGGACCTTAATTAGACTTAATTAGTGTTTTTCAGCCTCAATTTCAAACCAAATTCAAAAAGCCCAAAATTCAACTCGGACTTTAAATTCACAGCAAAAACACAAATTAGGAAATTGAAAAGGGATTACTAGGAGCTGATTTGGGTCTAATTGAAGTGAGATGCAGCTCGAGTTCCAAGTGAATTCGATCTCTCTTTTCTCTCTTTTTATTTTTGAATTTTTTTCTCTCTTTCTTGTTGTTGTCCGGTTTTGTTTTCTTTTTTTTCTCTTCAATTTTTCGGACTTCCTTTCTTTTTTTTTTGTGTTTTCTTGTGCATATATATGTGTGTGTGTGTGTGTGTGTGTGTGTGTAGTGTGTGTGCTTAGTTCTCCACCATGATGGTGTGAGATTTTTTTGCGGGATTGTCAAGTGGTGTGAGGATGGATGGGACTCGTGGTTGTGGGCTATGGCAGTGGTGAGATTGCTGGAGATTGGCTTGGTAAGGCTAGAGATTGTAGGTTATGTAAGGTGGCTAGCGAGGAAGGGGTTGGGTGATGATGGAGCTGCTGTAATTTGCAACGGTAGGGTGGCTAGCAGGTAGAGAGGGTTATCGAGATTGTTGATCGACTGGAGATGAGGTGGGCAAAGTGGTCTTGTAAGAGTTGTAGCAAGTGAGGGGTGCGAGTGATATGTTTTACCATGGAGGGGAGATTGTAGGCTGCAAGTTGAGGGATTATGGGTTGCAAGTTGCTAAAACTAGGAACAAAATTGGTTCTTAATGAAACGACATTGCGATGAATCGGAACCAAAATTGGTTCCAGGAGAAGTAAGATTACCAAAACTCGAAACTAGTTACAGGCGGGAGTGGGCAACTAGTCACTCACTCCTCTGTATGTTTTTTTCCTTCTTTTGATTTTTTGTAAATTTTACAATTTTGATCCGTGTAAATCATTATTAGGTCAACTTAGTCCTTGTGCAATGCAATCGACCCTTGAACTTTAAATGATTCAATTGCATCCCCAATATTGTAATTATTTTGAATTTAATGCAATTGCATCCTTGAATGTTAAATTCAAATTATTATTATTATTATTATTTTGCAAATTACTAAGTAAAATGGAATAAACAAAAATAACAATACCGATTAAGGTAAGAAAATCAAAAAACTTAAAATGAAATCAAAGAATACAAATAACGAACTAAAAATAAAAAAAAGCCTGAAATTTTGATTATGACAAATTTGATAATGGTTATTCGGGGATTGATTCCGAGTGAATTAGAGATCCTTAGTTATTTTGGGACGAGTTGGATCTTGTCTAGAATCCATGAATTAAAGCCAAAAGTCGACTTGGATGTTGGAATGAAACTAGGAAGTGGTTGATGAACATGAAGAATCGAACCCAAAAATTCAAGAACACCTTCAACGGCTATCTAGAAATCCGAAGAAGAAAATCCTATAATGGAAGAATTGAACCCCAAATGTCATAGAGTAAGGTTGAGAAACCCGTAAGGATGGAAAATTAGCTTAGAAGACACTAATAAAAAGAATTAAAAAGGATGACGAGATAAAGAAACAAAACCCGAAACTCAAGAACACTCAACCCAAAACCAAGAAAAAAAAACCTAGAAATGCGAAGTTCGAAAAATCCAATTTCGTGAATTCCAAAACTCTTTTATTTGTTTTTCTCTCTCCCTCAAAAACCAGAAATGTCCCCTACTTTGTTTTTTATATTCCCTCTCCAAACTAGAATTCTAAAACCTTTTATAGGTAATGTTAGTTTGAATTTCACCCAAAATGTAGTTGCCTTTGAATTTGAATTTTAGCCATCAAATTTGAACTCAAATTTTAGTTATTAGATTTTGAATTTGATAAGCTAAACACAAGAGGATGGATCAAATTCAAAATTAAAAAAATGATTAAGATGATTGGATAGATTTTCAATTGAATTTTAGAGGGATTCGGAGTTGAAATCTAGGTTGGAGTGAACGATAAGTCATTCACTCAATTTTAGTCCTATCTCTCGCTCCAACATTCTACTTTGGTCACTATGAATC